AAGGAACAAAAAAAGAAAAAGGATAAGCCGATGTTATTTGATTGACGTGGAGATTGCTTTTGTATTTGTTTTATTTATTGGAATTTTTCATCATAAAAGCCTTTTCATGTCCATTTGCATCAAGAAGTCGTGTAACCATATGAGAACCCGTACCCCAATGTTGGAATATTATCAGCTACTAAGGCTTCTTTTTGATTAACTAAATCTATATTTCCATTTTGACTGAAAATACGAACACATGATCGTGATTGAAGTACAAAATTGTCTGGAAATTTATAAACAATATCATCTTTGGAATCGATTTTACGACGAATACTCCAATTTTTCATATCTTGGTCTCTGCCTATTGAACCGGCATTCTCAATGACGATAAAATTACCTTGTGGATCTACCTGATCAATAGCAAAATCACCTAAATAGAATTTAAAAAAATATATACTATTCCTTTATTCATACTGTTTCACTGATAATATGAAGAAGACTAAATATTTGGGTGAGAGTAGTAGTTAGAAGAAATATATCTCACGCATTAAATAAAGTGGGCATAGACGTGCTAAATGATAAATGATGACGAGAGTGGACAGTGATGAAAAGACAAAATATATTTATTATTTTAATCAATGATACACACGAATAACTTCATCATTAGTTATGCATCATAATGTAGTAAAGCAAAAAAATATAATCAAGGTTTTTATTTATTTGCTTGTTCATATTTGTATATATATGTATGCATGTATTTTTTTAAAGCATGAGCTTCCACTATGTGTAGTTTGACGAGCAAATAAAAGCCAAAGCTCATGCTTATACTTAAAACGAGGGTGTGGGTGTGGTGTCGGTGTGAGTGTGAGTGAATCATGATGAGTCCACATCCACACCCTCAAGATGGATTTCTTTTTCTTCGGGAACTGACATCGGTGCCTTAGTATTCCAGTTGGAAACTATGATTTAAGTAAACTATTTTCTTTTCTCTTTCTTCTCAAAGTAACAAAAGGTAACTTCCTTTCCCCCTAGTTGGAAACTATGATTTAAGTAAACTATTTTTTTTTCTCTTTCTTCGCAAAATAATAAAAGGTAACTTCGTTTTCCTAGTTGGAAACTATGATTTAAATAAACTATTTTCTTTTCTCTTTCTTCTCAAAGTAACAAAAGGTAACTTCCTTTTCCTAGTTGGAAAGTATGATCTGAGGAAACTATTTTCTTTTCTTTCTGTTCTTAAAGTAAATGAGGTGACATTGTATTCTAATTATAAATTATAATTTAGGAAAGTATTTTTTTTCCTATTTTTCCATAAAAGTGAAAAGGTTTGAAAAATTATTATGTTTCACTATTTTTGCGAAATTAAGATAAGGTTATCTTCATTGAAATTGAGTTTCAGTTTCTATTTCAGGCTAAAGAAGCAGTTAAAATATTTCAATAACCAATCAGACTCTTTATTGTACCTGATACACAGCAATAAATATAATGGACAGTAGCAATGATGCTTTCGTTCAAGAAATCATGGAGCACGAACAAATGAAGCGTGATGGTGTTAACGCATATATTGAAGATATCAGTGAAAGATTCTTGCGAGATGATAGCTGGGATACATTGAAACCGGATGAAATAGCTGAAGCGTCACTGCAAGTTCGAGCTGAAACAATCGATTCCTCGACCGAAGATATACAAACTCATCGTTTTCGACAATTTTTATCGATTGCAACCAACTTCGCTTCGTTGCCATATGCTCAAAAGCTGTGCAAAATCCCAGAATTAGTAGAAAGTATTCAACAATTGCTTGAAGATATGATGAGAGAAGTTCGAGAATACAGTGATATGGCAAATGAACTTCGTGATCTCATTCAACGTTTTGTTCAAATGGTAACGGAAATAAAACATAATGTTAATATGAAGCTTCCTTTACTTACAGCTGCTAAATCGCAAATAGGAATTGTTCAAGATGTTATGAATACAGATCCAAGTAAAGGACTTAATGATATCGATAAAAAAGATATTCAACTTGCTTTGAATCGAATGTCAACTGGAATGCAAGGCTTACTCAGCTTAGCTAAATCAGCAAGAGCTGAAAGTCAACAACTAGACACCCGTATACATAAGATGACTAATTCTGTTCAGACAAAAAAACTCATTCTTGAAGAACGATTAGATGTAGCAAGTTTTTGTTTTAAATATGCTATGCCATTCGGTATGGCTTCAACTGGTGCTACAGTTGGAGGACTTGTTGCAGCTGAATCATTTGGTGGTATTGGAGCATTAGTCATTGCTGGAACGGTTTTTCCTCCTATTAATGCTATTATCAGTGCATGTATTTTAGGTGGAATTGCTACTGGAACGGCTATTCTTTTAGTGAAAAAATTTTGGGCTCGTCGTCAACTGACAGCACTCGACTATCTTAACAAAATATTTGAAGGTTTAATGGAATTAAGTTCAGCGAATAGACATTTCATGGGTTATATGGCCAATACGGAGGAGAAAGCAAATAAAGTTTCACAACATATTCAAGATATTCAACTGTGTTTAGAGAGTGAAAGACAGCGACGAGTAAATCGTGATGTCTGCAATATAGCCGTAGGTTCAATATCGACAATGATAGAAAGTCTTGAACGAATATCTAATTTAGATATATCAAAATGGTCTGACAGTTCACGTATAATCAATTTTTCAAAAACAAATATTACAATAAATGCTATTACAAACTAATGAACGAAATTAAAAAATCGAATAGAACAATTATCTCTGTAATATTATTTTATTCATTCAATCGTGGAGTTCCAATTTACTTTACCAAATCGACAATCACATTTCAATCTTTTCTCAGACAACCGTACTATTTTGAATAAACCAGAATTTTTTTCTGATTTATTTTTCTTTGCGAACTATAATAAATATCGAAACAACTCTTTTTCCAATGAATGAATAGCTTTTGTTGCAGCTTCTATCTGCACCATTAATTTGAGACTTTTCAATCGATTCATTATTGTTAAAATTATTGATCATCATAAACATGTTTTTTCTAAGCTTAGTTAGACAAACAGATACTTTCAAAAAATTTTGTATTAGAAGGCTTTGAAATAGTACGAGGGCGTGGATGTCTTGTGGGTGTGGGTGTGAGTGTGGGTGGAAGTTCGGATATCGGCGTTTTTATTTTTATTCTACCTGAACACACATCTACACCCTCACCTTCGCCTTCACCCACACTTACGCCCATACCCACATCCTCACTCACATCCTCACCCACACCCACACCCGTCTATTGTCCGCTAATTGCACTGCCGTTTCATCCGGTGTATAAATTTGTACGAATTTCTCGTCGTCCACTATCTTTACAATGCTAGACTCTTTCGACGTTGAAGTAGAGAAAGCCATATATTTTCGTGTACTTTTGCTCGATAAAATACTCTGAAATAGTGAGATATTTTTTCTTCTTATGTTCCCTTATATACTTTTAATAACACATGACTTTTCTTCTTTATCTACACATCTCCTCATAAAATAGACGGCACAGCAAAAAATAAAAACACGCGCATGTTACTCATTTCATCTCATTTCGAGCAAATAAAGAACGAAAGACGGTTGTTGATGTGTTATAAAATATATTATTGCTATGCTTTAGTCGTTAAATAAAAGTGCGCAAGAGAACGCAATATTTTTCTTTTCTCAGTGCTTCTACTGAATAAAGTGAATCGTAAACGATGAAATAGTTTCTTATCGCTCTTTTGCGGGTGTGGATGTGTGTGGGTGTGAATGCTGTATTCTTCTAGAACTCTCACCACACTCCCACCCACACCCACACACCCTTCGAATCAAATATCAACATAGTCATTCATAATTGTAACGATAAAACTTGTAAATTCTTCTTTTTTTCTATCAATCGATATTCAAAACATATCTTACTCACTATTTAAAGTAAATATATCCATATACACATTCAAGCGTTTTTCTATCTTGAAAAAAAAATTTCTGCTATTTCAGATCATGGCCAGCAAGTTAACGTACATCGTTTCACAAAATCTTCTATTCGATAGTTAAATAACTGTAAATCATCACTATAGAGA